TTGGGTTTTGGGGTTGTTTTTTTTTTTTTGCTTTTTACCTTTTGAAATGTTCACTTTTTAAACAGTGACTACTTTTCTGACCTTTATGATCAGCTGACGTTGAAGAGGCTGTGTATAAACATAGTAATTTATTTCTGTAAAACAGGTGGTAGCATATGATAAGTTCTGATTTTGTTGCTTTTCAATGATGAAGCAAATGTAAGATTTATTCCATGTTGGTGTATGCTGCATACGTTTGAAGGGATCCTTTATAACCATACCAGTTCTGCAGGTTTCAGTTTCTTGTCCTGTTTCTTTTCTGTGAAGTTACTCACCACAGCACCATCACAGAGGTCAGTACCGTTTTCTGAGAACAGGTTGATCGTTGAGCAGATAATGCAGCAACAGAACAGGACAAGCATTGCTTACTAACTGGCTCGCTCGTTACTTCAAGCGCTCTGTAATGCCATCGCATTCTAGCTGATGGGAACCTCTGCGGGTATGTTCAGGTGCTGCCAGCCCCCATTTGGTTATGGGTGCTGTGGAATACCCCTGGGTAAGCGATGTTTTATAGCCTGATACTTCGGGATTTGAAAACCCAAGATCTTATTGGGCTGTTATTGCTATAATTTTGAAGACTCCACAAAGAGCTGATCATGAATCTTGTAAGGGAGCGTATTGTAGCCTGAACTCTGAGAATCAAATGATCATGAGTGGAGCTCAGACTTCTTTCTCATAAAAATGAAAGTTCGTAGAGCTTTTTTTAAAGGGAAGTTTTGAAAAACTTCTGTGTTAACTTACAAGGAGAAATAACGCCAAATTTCTAGTTATTTTTAATCCTAAACTAGCATCAAAGGACTATTTTTGAAATGTGCTACGCAATAGGAACTGCTCTTCTGTCAAACTTGTAATAAATAGGAGGTCTTAGATGTGAAAAATAAATTAAGTAAACCGGGGTGTTTAAAATGCCTTTTCCTTTCTGTGGCAAAACCCCTACTTTTTGAAACAAAACCTGTGGCAATTAGGGTGCTGTTGTAACTCACAAATCGTAAATGTAAACCTGAGCACATTTCAGATCATGAAACAGTGAGACTCACCAGAGCAGCCAGTGTAACTATTGCTTTCCTTCCTGCAATCATAAGCCCTCATATTCTGTCAAATCTCACAGGATAAAAAGGCTTCCAAAGCACGTCAGGCTGGTCGGGAACCGCATCAGTGTTTGCCTACTTGGGAGAGGAATGATGCTAACCAAATCTCCCATCGTGTTGTCCTATTAGAAGATCTGTTTACCATCTGCAAGAACAATTCTGATGGAGAAGATTCTCCAGTGGCTCAGCACAATATCCAAGAGGAACAATTTTCAGCCCCAACTCTGAATAACTCCCAAATGCTCAGGTTCCTTCAAATGTTCAGAGAATTAAGCTGCCATGCATTTTCTTTTTTTCAAGTAGCTCCCCATTTAGCTCTAATAAATAGGCCAAGAGGGAGATAAAACGCTTTGACTTGGAAGTTGTAAGACAGCTCCCTCGTGGCCGTTCACACAACTGATGGTGTCAAGCGCAGCTTCAGGTTTATCTAGAAAGCACAAGTTACATCATGATCTGCTAAAATGAGAGAGAAAAAAAGGCTGTTAGTCCTCACATCTCTCCCAGATTTAAACATCACCTGAATCAGGTGAGTTAGGTAGCCCATGACTTCTCTCGCTACTGTGTCCTAAAGCAGTTCCTCTTTCTCCTGCTTGCATTTTGTTTCCTGGGCTGAGCCTCCAATCTATTGTTGGCCTGGCTGGGGCTGTGTGTTGCAGATGTCATGTTTTAAGCGTATTCGCAAGCATATTTTTATAGGATCAGAGCTCTTACAGTACAAAACCCATTCCTTCAGCCAATTTCAAAATCCTTCATCTTTTCTTCAGGAGGTGGGGCATGTTGGCAGAACTTAACTGGATGTCTATCTACTCTCAAGCCCTTGCTATACCTACTTTCTTATCCTATCTACTTTCAATTTATAGGCCTCTCAGCAGCTGAAGAGGGAAAGCAGTTCTCAGAAAACCCTAATTCAGAGTGTAACATACGTATTTTCCTGCTGTCCCTAAAACTGGACAACTGGGCATTGTGCTTCCTCACCAGGGCAGTAAAATATCAATACTACAGAGTGTACTGGGGAGTCCATCTGGAAACAAAAAAATCTGTAAGTGGATTTGGCAAGTTTCCCAGTCACTGCTGAAGATGTGGTTTCCTGAAAAAGTGAAAAACATGTCCCCAGTCAATACATGACTTTCCCCATCAGATGGTGCTCGAGGACAGATTTATTGGGCATTTCATTCTCCAGCAGACAAACTCTCTTTGATAAAACATGAAGTCTCCTCTACAAGCTGAAGTTAGATGGGCCTTTTAGAAAGATCAAAAAGCGCTATTGAACTCGTTTTCCCTTTGCAGGAAAAGAAAAAAAAAGATGGGAAAAGGCAAAGCTCTGACCCAAACCAGAGCAGGAGTTGAATGAGAAGGGCTACCTGGGACACAGCCTGTGTCACCTGCTGCTGCTGCCATTGCTACTGAAAGGGAGACCAACCGGGATAGTTCCCAGAGGTGACAAGGGTCTGACCCAGCAGCAGTGGGAAAGAGCCTGAAAAGGGTGGGAGGAGCAGGGGTGGGGAAGGGAGAGGGCACTTGCAAGGAGAGAGAGTCCCAGGAGATACGTGATTCTGCTTCACAGTGTAACTCTGCTGGAGATCTGCCTTCATGCCTGTCTGCTGTGGATCTCAAAGTGCTTTGGAAAGGTAACAACGTGCTAGCATGTTTTGAAGCACCAAGAGCTTAAGACCATATTTCATAAAAAGGACCTCCAATTTGATGTGCTTGTACTACGGGGCACCCAGCTTAAGTACCAATGATCTAAGCATGCACTGTACAAATGGACACCAAGCAGAGCAGTAAGGTACCTGAAACTGGCATTCATTATTTAAAATTGTGCCAAAAAAAATGACAACCATTTGTAACAAAAAGGCAGCTTTCCCCAGATACAATCCAATTGCTTGGTCATTACTAGCACGTGGAAGAGAAAGCTCCACAGGGAGTAAACTAACTGTTGATGTGCAACATTTCATATTTATTTATTTATTTATTTTGTCAGATTTCAGATGGGCCTAATATAAAACACCTGATCTAAACAGTCTGATCTGCAAGGATGTGGTTTCAAAACTGAAATCCAAACTCAAGGCTTCTTTCTCATTCAGACATGATCCCGATAGTGCAGTGACGGAGTACTCGCTGACAATTTTACTGATGAAACATATTTTCCTATTGAAAGACAAATTCAAATTTGTTTTTAAAGCTTGCTGGCTTTGTTTGAATGCAGTTTTATTTCCGAACAGGATATGATCATTAAAGGATAGCGAAGTATTGCCTTCCACAAAAATAATTTGTTGAGAATAGCCATGAACATTTGACTGAGATTTCTAGGGTTCATACAGCCATCGCTCTGCAGCTTAGACTTTGCATTTGACACATAGCAGAAGCTTCCACAGCTGGAACAGAGGAAAAAGACTAAAAGATCTGTGCCAATAAAAGAGTTTAGGAAGGCTTGACATTTCAAATACATGCGTGAAATAAATATTTTGGAAAAGCTGTTAGAAGGAAAGTCTTAAATCCTCATTTATAAAACTAATCTATCAACCCCGCCCGCGAACCTTTGAAAGAAATCTACCCTGTGATTTGAAAAGGAAATTCTGATTTTTTAATAGTTCTTTCAAAACAAGCTTAAATTAAAAAAATGAATCTTATTGCCCACAGGTTTAGAAATATGCTATTGAAAAAGAAAAGTTATGATTTCACAGTGTAAATTCTTCAATGAAAGTTATCAATCTTGTAACAAGTAGAATGAAAATGATTTCTGCATTGTGCTGAAATGTGTATCTGTGCTACAGCAAGCTCAAAACTTAAGACAGATTAAGTGGGACAGAAAGTGCAAATTCCTGAGAGCTACAGTTAAGTATCATTTATTTTAATGCACCCTCCCTTCCCATATGCACTCAAATGGCAGTCATTTACACTAGGATGAAGAAGTCTGTGTTTCTTATGGGTGTTATTAAGGTGCACAGTGACTTCAATTGATTCCAGGGCCCCGCTGTGCTACTTTTCTGTACAAACAAATTAGACGGAACATTTTTGTTCCTTGGAGTGCATAGCTCAGACAAAGAAAAGATTATCTTTCCCCTTTTACAGATGAGGAAACAAAAAGTAGAAGAAGTTGACCAGGGTCACAAGCATGAGTGAACGAGCTTGCTTGAGTCTCAGTGGTCACTGACTCAAACAGGAGATGGCTCGCTTTCTCTATGTGCAGTGCTCTGCCACTATTCTACTGCTGTGTTTGCACTGCAACCGAGAAACTAAGGTGCAAAAAGCAATTTTGGGTAAGATCGTCATTTATCCACTTGAAGTTTTCTCTTTTTAGGGCTTCTGGTGTCCTGCTAGGTGCTCTCAGCTCTTGTTGACATTAGTGAAAGTCAAGGTCATTCAGATTTCCCGTGGCAATCCTCAGTACCTTTCAAAGGTTACATACTGCCAAAAATTCAGAAAGTAAGAATTCAAGCTATTCAGGTCTTGTCTCTGTTGCAACTCCTCTCTATAAATGGTATTTGCAATTCTGCTCCTACAGCTTGTTCCTTCTCTTCTTCCTCTTTTTCTGAATCACAGCTCTTCGAAAAAACTGGGCTTCAGGAATATATTTACTCTTCTTACAAAGTCTGTATGATAGGTGCATTGTGCAATTTTCAGTGTTACTCATATTAAAGCTCTGGTTAAAACAAGCATTATTTGATTATAAATAAAATCTGAAATGATACAGAATTTTTTTAAGAAGCCATTCATCACCGGACTTTCAACAATGATTTTCAGTGGATAACTGGGTATTGAACCTGCATGACTTGGTTCCACAAGAGATGATGTGATAAGGCACATTTCCATCCTATCTTAATAGTGGAAATAATGTAATTAAAGCATTGCCATAATTTATTTATAAAAGAGATTATTTTTTTAATGTCTTCAGCTTTGCAATTGCTCCAGTATTCCTTTCACTTAGTTAACGGCATTGACTTTACCCAAATGGAAGTGGTTAGATCCACATTGAGGCTTGTTTTTGTTGGTTTTTTTTTAATGGATCCCATAGTCTGTTCAGATAGTTTAGAATCCTAATTCGATACGTCCATGGTTTATTACCAATAGTTCTCTTTTTGCTATTTTCAATACGGCTGGTTCTCAGGCTTATTTCTCTGCCTTTCCCCTTGTGATGCTTGCCTAACTAACCGTGGTGGCGGCACAGGTTTTGCCGACCCATGGTCTCCAGTCAAATCTTCCCTGCTCAAAGTGCCAAATCTTGGTCTCGTCAGCAGTGGCTGCCTGAAACCGATGGAAGGCTGAGGCAAGGTGCTCGGCTCCTGCTGCTCTCCTCGGCCATCCTGGCTCCCAGCAACTTCGTCCTTCCACTCCACCCTAAACTCAGGTGGTGGCCTCTGCTGTCTCAGTCTCTGGTCTCTCAAGATTTTCCCTGCTCTGGGTCTTAGATTGAGCACTGTGGTAGCTGCATCCAGCTCAGAGTCACTGCTGTCACCCACTGTTGATTGAAAACAAAATTAAAATTTTAGGTGCAGAATACTACTGTTTCAAAGTATGCAAATAACAGCACACTAAGCACTAGCAGCCAAAGAAGAAAGTTTCCCTGTGTTTCCTAAATTCAGTGCTTTCTGATTAGATCCAGTAATAGACACTTAACTCTGCTGGGACAGAGGATAGATTTGACTTACAAACATCCCTCCCCTCAAAACTGTGATTTTTAGAAAGCCCTCACTCAGCTGCTCCTTAATTGCCAAGTGCCCCCCTGTTTCAGTTGACATTTCCCCAGTTTTGTCTCTGGACATGGAAAAACGTGTCTCTGAGCTACCTGGGGTCCAAGCAGGATACAGAAATGAGATTTCTCACCCTCACATCCCATGAAATCTAATCTGGGAGGCATTTCCAGAGCATGACAGGTACAGGGGCTCTAGAAACTTGACTTTGGAAAAGGAGTGTCAATAGTCCACCAAGCAAAGGATCTCCCAAGGTCAATGTACAGATGGGAGGAACATCTCATCCTTAATATGCCTGAATGTAAGATCTCAAAGAAAATCTACATGACAAATCTCACAGGTTGCAAGTGCTGCAGACTCCTTCACCCCATCACAGCAGGGTAGAAAATGGTCAAGGGAAAGCTAGCATAATCATTCAGGGAATATTCTTAAATGATCACTATCAATCAAGTAAACCAATCTGGAAATGTTCTGGAGGTGTATATCTGCATATATTTTCCCCAGAAGACTTCTTTTAAATCAACTAACATCTTCATCAAAACTTGCATGCTTCGGTCATTTGATAATCATTCTAACAATCATTTATGAATGCCTCAGATTTGTTCTTAGACTTAAGTCAGCTTTGAGGTTTTAAATATATCAAAGCAAAGAATTGCGTATTGTGCAACTGTCATAAGAACAACTTCCATTAGTAGGCTACATGTTATTTCTTTTAAAAAGGTGAGGAAGGGGTCAACAAAATGTATCACCACGTAATTGTCCATTCACCCAGACAATTATATATCAAGGAAGGTCTTCATCAAACTGTGTTTGCAGGCTTCCCCCCACCCTAAATATGTCAAATAATATACTTTGACAACTGAATAATCTGGAGGCACATTTCCTCTTTAATGCTAGGTGACAGTAGGTGACCTCTACAGACACAACTACAGAATAAAAGGCATTCTACATTCAGGAGAGGCAAGATGTAATTATTAACAGACATGTAAACAAAACCATGGTATATTGCTAAATTAATTTGGAAGAGTGGGAAACCAATTGGGGCGGGGATCAAGATATTTTAGTGATTGTACCTAGATTTAACCTTCCCAGCAAGTGATCTTGATGGTTGCTTGTCATGAAAGGAAATGCTCCCGAGCATGGTATAAGCATGGTAATGCAACCGGTAGTAATCAAAAGTAATATACAATACAGAATTGGGCAAGGTTTTCACAACAAATGGTTGTCTTCGCCCAGATTTTTTTTTTTTTTTTGTGGTTAGAATTCAAGAACTCCAATATAAAACATTTGTGAGTTTAGGCAGAAAAAAAAAAATTGACATTTTGGTTGTAAACCACAGCATTTTGAGAAGTTCTTAATGAGAACTAGAAACCAGGCCTCATGTCCTTCTCCTCTCTGGTTTGGTTCTCAGAGCAGTGTCCTCTACCCTGACCCTAGTGAGAAAAGAAACCAAATAGGCTCATAATCCAAGAGGGAGATCTGGACATTATAGAATAAAGACAAGGAGAATGAGCCATGGCAGTGTTTCTGGTGCAGAAGTGTTTCAGGCTGCTGCTTGCTCACATGAGGAGATGTGCTGGGAGGACTATGCCACTACAGCATTTGAACTGAGAAAGCCTCACAAGACTCTGCTTGCTGGGGCATTTCTCTGCATTCAAATACACGCTTTAGGATCCATCGCTTTTAATGCTGTAAGATCACTGCTAAATATCTAACACCTAGAAATATGCTATGAAGGTATTAACTCCAGAATGAAAGCACATGCACATAAAACATTTAATATTTATTTCAAAATTAATGTGCTGATTTCTCTACATCATCCCTGGAAAAACTTTCCTTCTACATAGGCAAAATGACTGCAGCACAGTAAGAGACAGCAGAGAATTTTTCATTACCTCTGGAAGATGTTTTATTTCTCACTCTTAGTTTCTCTGGGAGTTTAGTGTTTTTAGGAAGTGAAAGGAATCTTTTTGTATTTGCAGCAGCCTGCGTGCAAAGAAATATAAGAAATGTTAAGTTACTGCAGACTGAAGTACCTGCATAATGTACGTTAAGATACACGGCTGAGGCTTGAACAGGTTTATGTAGCTAAAGGGCTGGAGAGTAGTTTGGGATTAGCTAATATGTGATCTTTTACTACACACTCAAGTTAACGCTGATTGCTGGCTGAGGTCTGTGCTAGCTAAGGTAAAGACTGAGTAATCTCAAGCAGCTTCATCAAAGGCAAGCCTAGTGATATGCCCTCTGAGATCAAAGCCTATAAATGTATGCTTTCTAACCTCAACCTTACCTGCACAGGTTTTCCTAAGGAAGGCAAACACTGCAAGCATGGCATCACTTCATGCAACTCCAGTTTGAAACTTTTTAGTAGTCAGCTGCAAAAATTAGGTTGAGACTGAAGCTCAGGTACAAGAACTAATCTGTATTCTGATCCTGCAAGCGCTTTATACATATAAATGACTTTATACAGTTGACTAGTCACACTGAAGTTCATGGGGAAGTTAGGCACCAGCATGATCATTTACCAGTTCAGGGCATAAAATCCTTGTTTTCCCAGGACTAAAGTCTAAAGCCCTGGATGCAGAGCACACCTCATACTTCCTGGAACATGAGAGGTGCTTTCCAGGACAGGTTGCCTTTTTTTAAATTAAAAAAATCTCTCGAGAGCTTCCTTTCTTACATTTGTTACAAAGATTTTTAAAAACTTTTACAGTCTATCAGCTCTCCCCTGCTTGTACCATTCATTGTTGCACACTCAGAGGGCACCTGAAAGGAAATTTATTTTCCATGAGACATTTTTCCTCTTTGGATACTGTTGTGCTGCTCAGGACCACTGTGCTTCCCTCTGTGGTGGATTTATTCAAGGATAAATATTTTTGAAATTACAGCCCATGCATTTTAAAAAGCTGTCAGACACCCTGTTTCCTTTCCCTGCCCCAAAAACATCTCAGTCCTACTGAGTCTCTTCCACCTAGTAAATCATTTATTTGTATGACAAAGACAACATATGTAACTGTGGTTGAGAGGGAAAAAAATAATTCAGGAACAGACTTATTGTCACAATTAACACCACAGTAGCCCGGGTAGTGATCACAAATGAGATGTAGCACTTATTGGAGACATCATTCCAGCCTCAGCTGCTGAAGGACAACTGTATCAATGAAGACAACCATCACTAAGTATTCCTGTAACATGGGAATACATATCTATAGGATGGTTAATTTCCCTGATCCCTAGAATGGGAAGATGATTCGGGGGATCAGCTTCCCTGCTGAATCAGTGTGCTCCACTCAAATACGGTCTGAAGTTTACAGGGAAGGTATTGCAGGATTGCCTCAGGGAGCCACATATTATCATGCCACAGCATTTCTTGTAGGCGGAGGGGGTTTTCCTGTTCTGTGTCAAAACCAGAAGTCCTGGCTACATTTTGAATACTAAAGAGCCCACAACACTTTTCAAATGAAGAGCTCACTCTGACTGACTCAATTAAAAGTTCTCTTTCTCATATTTTGGAGCATACTGTAAGTAGTTTGTCTATCTCAAAGTCATTTTCAACTTTGATCATCCATGCTTCATCAAAATACTGATAGAGATTACTGACCATCCCTTAGAAGTACACTGTCTACAGAGCCTGTTCAGCTCCTCTGAGATAAAATTACGGCAGCAGATCCCACTCCCGTATCATTCTACAAGACTGAACCTTTGCTGAAGGGGTCAACACAAACTAAGGGGCCCACGGGTGCAACTCAAGGTGTAAGCGTGACATTATATGTGCAGTCATCTTCCAAATTCAGGATTTAATTTTTCTGCATTTCAGAAGATTTTTTTCTCCATGACATTTAGCTACAAAGACCTGCTTTCTATAAAACAACTCAAATGCAAGTACCGGTCTTTCTCTTGACAGGCTGTTTGTTTTCCTCAGGCTCTCCCTAAGGCTGTGCCGGCGACGGATCAGAATTTCTTTGGCCTGCTTTTCGTTTGCATCTGCAGCCAGGCTATGTCGGTTATATGACATTGTCTGAAATATAAAAGCAGTGGTCACATTCTGCAAGGCATAATGTCAAATGTGCTGAACTATATGCACAGTGCAAAACAGGCTTTTTGCTTGAATGTTTTAATAAGCATCATAAATCATTGTGAACAAAATCATATTGCAGATGATTAAGAACAAGAGCAGTAATTATGCCAGCATTTTTTTAGTCATCTGCTTCACAAGCACCTGTTTTGTTTGGTTTGGTTTTTGTTGTTTTTTTTTTTAACCTGCTGATATGCATAATGAAAGAGAAATTGGAAAAAGTTGGGTTAATACAGTGTTTACCCCCACATTGTACTAGCTCAGTCAATACGTCAATAGAGGACGCACATTTGAAAGCGATAAGATGAGTCACCTGGGGGAAGTCGTTTTTACTTCCAGCAAGCTGAAGCTTGCTCTACTTTTGAATGTTTTCCAAGGGCTCAGGCATTCAAACTACTTAGCCACAGGAGGGTAAATGTGAAATGTCCTTTTGCTTTTATTTCACTATTTTTCCAGCTCATCACCTCTGCTCTTAATACAAACAACTTGACGACTGGAGGCAAATGGGAAAGCTAATCCCATATCATGAAGTGAACAAAACACTAATATAAGTGGGGCAATGTTGGGTTGAATTTGCACCTATGATCCTTTTAAAGTAATGTAAGTATATTGCAGATAATACCAAAACAAAAACATTAATCTTTATCCATAGTATATGATCAGGTAAGCTATTTACGTAAAGGAGTATGAATACGTTGCTGTACATGTGATAGGAAATGGATTCATAGGCAATAGAAGTAAGTAACAGCATTAATTATTATGCAGTGGTACAGTAGGTGCTGCACTAGCCCAAAGATACATCAGGAAGGTAATCAGTATATTCAAAGAGCAGTGGGATATTTAAGTATGCAAAACTTCATCCTTACTCGATGTCGTATTTGGTAGAGATTCTTTGTTAATATTTCTCGCATGTTTTCCATTTCAGTGGGAGAAAGTGGCTTTATTTTTCCTTCATGATATTCACTGTGGCAGAATAAAAAAAGGAAAATACAGGAGAGAGAGACAGAGGAAGAATGTTTTTATTTTTATGACTGGGAATTGCATTTGAAATATTTCCTTTTTTAGAGTTGGAAACAACATTTCAAAACAACTGAGGAACAGGTAAAAATGTAACACGGAGGAATGAAACCTTGATCTCATTTTAGTTACTGGTAAGGCTCAAAATTTAGCCTCCAAAATTTTATATAAATGACATTAAATTGTAAATTTGATTAAGGTACTTTTCAAAATGCCCCTCAGGCTTCCCCCGTAGCTACTTGCAGCAGATGTGCAGGCACTGGTTCAAGTCCAGCTCTGCTCTACATGGCAAATCAATGCTCCTGTGAGCAGCTGCCCTTGTAAAACTACACGCTCCGGACAAGCACAGCTCACCGAGCGCTTCGTGTGTGAGCTGCAAGCAAAATGCTCGTCTTTCGTATACACCTACTGTTCCGGTGACATTTGGACACAAAGTGCCCTGAGTCGAAGTGATTTTCCTGCCTACAGACTGGGCTGTGAAATAAATTATGTGACCCAACCAAAATGCTTGGCCACGCTGGCATCGCTTGCTTACCTGAGCGACACCGACGATGGGACCTTGCTTATCATTCCACTCTCTGCCATCTCAATGGCATGTTTGATTTCCAGCTTCTTGTATAAAGAAACAATGCTGGATTTGGGCTGGTTCTCCCGTATCAGAAGTCTTCGCAGGTATTTATTGTCAAACTTTTTAAACCTGTACATGAGGCAAACCAACCCAACCAGTTAATTTTTACTGTGCCTAGTTAAGGAAAGCCAATATACTCTAGCTAACGCAATTGTGAAGGAGTTTATTCCCTGGGAATGTGTCTGTTCATATTAATAGCCTACTGCTAAGTAACATAATAAAGGGTCAAGTTCATCTTTGCTTCAGATAGACAAACTTAACCTGTGTTTTAGTTAATACATAAATGGACAGTGTCCCTGGCAGCAACTTTTAACTTTTAGGTATTCTATGTTATTAGACAATAATATTTTTAATTCTCCATTTTCATCATGACAAAGAGAACATTAAATATTTACTGTAATAACAAATAAAAGATCTAAATTTGCACCGGCTGCTTTTCCTTTGAAATTTTAGCCTGCTTTTGTAAAATTTTGGAAGTTCTCCCTTCCTCTAAAGCAACTGCAACCCTCTTGGATGCTTAGTGAAAAAATATTGATTACAGCTGGGGTGATTTTGTTTGTCAGAAAATATTTTGCCCTCGGGCCATTCTGAAATTATTCTTGAATTTGGGTCAAAAATGTTTCTGAAGGTCATGAAGAGGTGGGACTCTCCTTTGCTCCATAATCTGTTAATTAAAGATCTCACACAGACTGGAAGAGAACCAGGCTGAGTAAAAGAAAGCTGTACTTATGTCACGCAGTCAGGAGAGTGTCCTTACTGTCATGCCCTCAAGTCATTTGGAGAGGGCTCTTCTCAGCCCCTCCTGCTGGTGCTATTCCTCTTTGTAGAAAACACTTAAATCCTTGTGGGAGCAGTGAGTAGAAGGTGGGTGAGCAATGCCCATGCTTTACGTCTAACAGATTTGAGTGTAAAAGAGTGTGCTTCTGAGAAAAGGGAGTTAGATCCAAACCAATGATGATGCTGATTCAGCAGCTAAACTGAAAACATGAATTGTTCAGGTATTGCCAGTGGTAACCTTCTTAACTGACACTAAGTCTTAAATAATACCATCAAGAACTGGGGAGTTGCCTGCCATTAGGATCTCTCATGCACTTCATGCCAGCTAGTGCCTTGATCTTTCTAGAGAAAGTCCCAAAGCTTTTGTATGTTTCCCATCAAATTGAGAACTAGCCCCTCACTTAACACCACAGAGATGTACAATTTGCAGAAGGAAAGACGGATGGGATGAAAGGCTCAGCAGACATACAAGAAATGCTCTGAAACAGTCAGAAGCAGGGAGAGGACATGCACCCTCAAAAGGTGCAATCCTTTACCCTGGGATCAGACAGCTGCCTTTCTTCCCAGCTGGAGATTTTGTTCTAGTTGCTTGTGGTTTAGTAAAAAGACATTGTTTTGCTGCTTTTCCTTTGTAACCCACACGTTCTAAAAACAACCACCCGCTTTCAAGAATAAAATGCTGAAAATGAAATCTGATGCTCAACAGCCTTCATTTGTTGCTGCTGAGACAGTATAGCCCCTCCTGTATAACAAAAGTTTTAAATGACATTCTTACTTATCTCTCCAGAAGTTGTGACCCCAGTGTCCACACACATCTTCTATTCCAGTCTTCACGTGGTCAAAGAACTAAAGGGGAAACATTGGTTCATTACATCAACTTATAGACATCACTTGGCTTGCCCTTAGATATTATTAGTTTATAACTTCAAAACAGAAAAGTCTAGTCAGACTTCAGGGTGATGCTTCCATTTAACTAAATGCAGTCTAACCAGAGTCAGACTCTGTTTTGTTCCCCTGGAGTTTCCTTAGCTCACAGCCCCAAAAAGACAGAAGTTAGCTGCTAATTTCCTCAATGTCAGTCTTGCTTAGCTCCTGGCTGAATCTGGAAGTAACTATTTTTTCCCATATTTTCATTTCTTTTAAGTTCCTTAACCACTTAGGGCTATGCCTGGGACTCCTCCAGGGACTTCCCCAGGCCTGACAGTGAACCAGGTCTCCTCCTCTGCGGAGGAGAGAACCTGAGCGGGCAGCAGCTCCCCGCATCAGCACTGTCCCCTCGGGATGTGCAGGACAGAGCTGAGATACCCAGCATCAGGTCCTGAGCTCCTGTTTTAGGGGACTGTGATCTACACTCACCTCAAAGCATCCTGAGCACCTAATACTAGAAACACAGTCTTCTCAGTCTATTATGAATTACAAAAGGGTGAATCAGTTCAGCTAAGATCTCACTCAATCCCCAAAGGCAGCTCATTTGCTCTTAATTCAAGTACCATAGTAGGGGTCTCAAATTCAGGGGGAAATCCTGGTAGATATGTCCAAAGGATAACCTCTAAAAGGACAGGCTTTTAGGTGCCTAAATTGACTTCTTTGCTGAACGGGGCCCTTATTATTCCTCATTTTTAGAATGTCAAACCACCTGCCACAGATATGCTGCAAGGAGAAATACATTCAAGAATATGCATGGCTAATAAACTGCAATATTGGAGACATACACATACCAAATACAAATCCATAAAGACGCTGATGATGTGAGAGTTAAGTAAGTTTAAGAGTGTGTTTAGGAGGAGTTTGCATTTGTTTAATTAGACTAACTCAAATGCGATGTAATGTAATTAAATTGCCAAAGCTATCCTAATGTAGCCAAGTTCTAAAAGAACACATATCTCATATGTGAAACAAACTACAGAAAGTTAATTTACCTCAAGAGTTGAACAATTGAGAAAGTGAAGATTCTAAAATAATGCTATTTTTGATGATTTCCAAAGGTTAAATATCAGCTTTACAGTTATTGTGCTTATAACGGCTATCAAAAAGAAATCTTTAAAAGAGCGTGTGTCTCTCTAATACTGTATGCTGAATCCTTTTCTTACTGAAAGCCACTAGGAATTTCATCTATATGAGGGTTTCATCTGTGACACTGAAGCTGCAACATACCCTGTTATAAATTTCTTCACTGACAGCAGGCTGCTTTTTATTTGACCTTTTGACATCGAGAAACTCCACCAGTGGGCGAATTGTTATTCCCTGTGAAAAAAAAAAAAAAAAAGGCAAATACTTCTGGGTTTTTTTCCATGAACATAAAGAAAAAACAAAGCCTTTCAGTCTTTTCCATCTGTCAGAGCACTGAAAATGGCTGTGGATACCCCTTTAGCTCTGGATACCCTTTCACCTTCTAAACTCCAAAATCCAGCCAGACACAATAATTATATATATATCACTCTTGTGATTAGCAGGTGTTGCACTTAGCTACAAAGTCCTTGTCAGCACACAGACTCCACTAATGCAATAGAAGGAAGTAAGGGTCTCTCTAGAGCTAAGAGGTCCAAGAGGGGCAACCTGACAAACCCCATCAGGAATACGTCAATTACCCCATCCACAGTATTTTTAAATTTTTTTTCAGTTCTGTTGTGTATTAGAAAAACCCTCACTTCTTTTCTGAATTAATAAATAAACCCCCTGTCATTCCAAAGCAAACATATAAAGTCTCTTTTTTGGTCATTATTTCCAAAACACGCACTCAAAGATCTGTCAAGAGTATGTTACTCAAGGCCCATGACACTAAGACTTTTTGGAAATATGTGTCCTTGCCTGACTATTCTCAGAGAAAGAACAAAAAGTTTTGGCTATCCCAGAATGATATCATGGTTTTGAACAATTATTTGTGGAAGAATTGACATAATTAGTTTATTTGTATAGGCACACGGGCACAGAGGAGAGGAATGAATCTCTCATGGTGTTGAGATCCGTCCCTGCTATGCCAGACACATATTTCTTTTTGTAAGTGAATCGAGCTTTATCTTAAAAGTAGTTAGGTTTCTTTGCCCCATTGCTCATACTGGAACACTCATCCTGAACCTCATTGTTTTGATAATTAGAAAGCTGCTTCTTAATTGCACCATGGTCACTTTGTACCACTTTGTTCTTGTGCCAACATTTGTCTTTTTAGTTTAAACAGTGTTCCTCCTTCTCTGGTGTTCACTCCCTCATATAAACAGTAATTATATTCCCTCTTCCCCTTCATTTCGCTAAGGCCAAGGCATCCTGGTCTCCTTTCACATGACAGGCTTACCAGTCCCATGATCACTCTAGAACATGACACTATTCTCTCACGAAAATACCTATCTCACTATGTCTTAAGATCAGATTTGCCTTTCTTCTGTCCCCACTGCATCAGTGGCTTAAACTCCACCCTGGTATCAACTAGTACACCTGTGTCTTTTTCCCTTTCTATTTTTTTTGAAACAAAAGGTTCCCATCTCATAAAAGAAATCCCTAGTAAGAAAGTCCTAGCAAGAACACGTTTGCACTTATTACTGTTAAATTTCATTCTGTTTCTATCCCCTAGCCCTCAGTTATTCTCTTCTACATGACACCCCATCTCACTGTCACCCTGAGAACACCTTCCAAAGCCTATCGTCAAGAAGCACCAGCAACAAAAAACTCCTACAGTTATGTACCATGGTCAATAACAACAGCATTAAACAAAACCATCCCCAGGAACCATCCTTGAGGAATTCCATTAATAACATCTTGTCAGCCTGTTATCTGACCAGGGTGGTTAAACACTAGAGCAGGTACCCAGAGAGGCTGGGGAATTTCCATTCATATTCAGAACTCAACTTGACATGGCCCTGAGCAACATGACCTAGCTTTGAAGGTGGCCTTGCTTTGGACATGGGGTCGGACCAGAGACCCCCAGAGGTCCTTTCTGACTCAAAGGACCCTATGCTTCTATTTCCCTTTATAGGAGAAACTGTTAGCTCTTTCCTCATTCACTTTACAATCATCCTAATGTCAATCTAAACCTCAGTTTAACGAGTAGTTAAGCTAACAATCTCCTATGTAGCCCCCTCCCCAAAGATTTTACAATAGTCCAGTTAGATGAGATTACTCTAGAAAATAAATTGCCTTATCAAAGAATGATACCAGGTTTCCCTTTGGTAAACCATGTTGCATTTCATAACATATTCCATTTACCTCCATATTTTAAATTATTCTATCCTTCAAATCAGCTTTCACAGCTTACATGCTAAGGTCAACTGACTTCCAGCTGCTCCAGCCACCTTTTCCCCTTTCCCGAGCACGAGCACAGATACTTGCCACTTCTCATGGCACCTTTACCCATGTAAAAGGCAGGCTAAAAAAATATTTTCTTTTCCACAGACCAGAAATTCCATGTACTAGCCTCTCACATCTCTCTCACCGCTCTGGATAATGACTAGCCTGACATGTTTATTTGAGGGGCTCGGACTCCTCTGCCTTTTGCTGGTTTCAGTCACTTCCCTCTCTCTTGGTCACTCTTGACCAGGCCTCCATGGCCAGGTTGACACCAGAGACAAGTTCTTCATGTTCTTCCACACACCTGGTGCTTTTGGATAGATGTCCAGTTGGTTTGCAGCATCTCTGCCTAACATCCAGACTCACACACTCCAGTCCACCTCTCAGTACCCTCAGTATCTTCCATCCCCTGCTCACTGTGCACGGTATCCAACACCGAGCTCCTGAGTAAATGCATAACTTTAAATATTCTAACAAGGAATTAATGCTGGGGCTGTACCCAGATTATTTTTTATCTCTACTCCAACCTCACTTGGTCTTAAATGCTTAATACTACTTACATGTTAGCATCAGTACTTAATATCTGGCATACTTTTGCTACCTGCCTGCGGTCTGCATAGCATTTTTTTCAAAACTATGACCATGGAGAGTACCTTCAAGTATGTTCCTTCCAGTAAGTCAGAACATTTGTTTTTCTACCCACTGCTTGTTTACAACCTGTCTGAGAAAGTCCAGAAGAGGAAAGGCATTACCTGAATGAAAACAGTAAAGAATATCACCACGATAACAGCAGTGATGAACAATTTCTTCCTGGGGAACACAGCAGGAGGAAGCAGAAATACAAGTGAAAAGCAAATAGCTCCTCGGAGGCCTCCATAGGCAATAATAAATTGGTCCTTAAAAGTGAGAGGAATTGTCCGGAACACATTAATGATTTGAGTCAGAACAAAAACACCTGAGGAAAAAAAAAACAGAAATACAGGGAGGAGGGAAAAAAGGGTAATTAAAATTACACAGAATCCCCTACAATACTAATATTTCTTTTAAAACACTTTTATTTGCTTCTTACCTATATATTATTGAAGAAATGAAATGTTACTTAACAGCTTGAAAGCACCATGGAAGAAAACTTTAAAATGCCTAAGGAGCATCATCTTAAACATATTCAGTGAGCTAACCACCTCAGGTCAGCTGGATTTAGGACCTACATCAGCTAATTCATCTCCACAAGACAGCTATCTGCTAGACTCTGCACCTCTAGAACAGCAGTAACTCTGTGTCAGTACAGACCAAGACTCCTAATTTTTTTTTAATAGGATTTGAGGTGCTTTTGAACACTTTGGTTTGTCACCTCCATCAATCTGTGCTTTGAATCCTGCAAACTCCTATTCACTCAATTTTATTTGCACAGACAGGAAGGATGCAGGACTGGGGATAGAGGGAGAAGATACCAGTGCATGCTAGTGTACCGAAGGTAAAGGCTCCAGGGCTGTGGCAGACCGCAGTAAAGGTGTAAAGGCAGGTGAAGGGAGCAAGCACGGGGGCCAGGAGCTGGGGGGCAGTCAGGCTGCTTGGCTGCTTTTCAGCATAAGGTATTAATGACGGGGTTGCAGGCGCAGGAGGGAAAATAGTCCAGATTTCTGCACTGGAGGGAGACTTGGGAGCTGGAAGTAGGGGTGTAGAGGCAGATCAGAGTATAGCTAATACTGCAAACTCAGAATGGATCAAGCAGTTTCTTATAGGATTTTTTTCTTCACAATATATACCTGAACAACACTTCAACTACAGCATTGCCTGTTTTGATGCCATTTATGCCAATGACTGGGAAAATCCCAAAGGTAGTAAACATAAATAAAAAAAGAACCACAAGCTGTTTAATTGTTGTACAACTGTTAATTCTTTTAAGCAAAATTTGCTTATTTGTAAATAAATGTTTACTTAAATACATGTGCTCTGATTAACAAGCAGACTGCCTCTGACTTTAGATAGGCAGGATCAGGACCAAACTGGTTTTCGTGTTCCATTTTGGGGCAAGGTGGAAGCTGACCCTGTGATCTAGGACATGTTACAAATAAGAAGACCATTCTACAAGCTGATGGGACTCTGTCTAAATTTTGGCATTTTCTACTTGGGAAGAAGTAAAAAGTTTCACTTGCAAAGAATACTGACGCATAGCCTGAGACTTGCTTACCCAGTGCCCTCCAGATTAAACAGAAAAGGAGGGTGAAGCTAACAAAGGCCCAGTTCCACTCATGGTTCTTCCCAACTGTAGACACTCCCATGAAGATGAAGATTAAAGTCTCACTGACACTGCTCAGCATCTTCATGAAATACTTTATTGTCGTATAGGATTTTTGAGAAACATTTTCTTCCACGTATTTATTCATGGTCATGGCACAAGCTGTAATCCTGAAAGGCAAACATTAGCTTATATTTCATTGGCTTGATTTTTTTTTTTAGGATCTCTCATTTCTACAGAATATTATTCACTTTTCCATAGTCCTCTTTAAAATACAAAACATATGGAATAAGTATTCCATAACCAATCTCAAATTTATAGTCTTGGTGAACCTACAGTTTTGGGCACCAGATTTTTTTTTCCACACTGGGGAGTTTTCTGAGAAGACATCAGTATATGGAGAGTTTTGTCACATACTGAATCCAAGTCATCTGTGCAGGGATCACTCAAACTCTGTGTTTTGAAAGAGGCAGCGCTGAGGAGAGGCAGGGAAAGCCCTGGAAAATAGGGATTGCTGCTTCTATTGCTGCTGAGGGACCTCACGCAGGATGGCAACTGCATGTCTTGGGGCAGGGCTTCCCTACCCCCCCACCAGCAGCTGTCCCACCAAACCATTCCCCTCCTCAATGGCAGTGACAGCAGCCAGCTCCTCTTTCGAGGCAAAGTAAGCAATAAGGCTACAGACAATTTGTCATCCTCTACCACTCTAGGCCACTGCTTGCTTTGCCTCCGCATAGGGCTGAATAGGAGAAAAACACCCCCAGAAATCACGCTGGTGCTGTTGCACATTTAAAGCACCTACAAATGAATGAAATGGGCATCTCAGCTAATACATGAGAGAACAGACAGGGCTTACTGTAAGTACACCTACATGTCCATGCTCTGAACTTGTGTTAGTAAACAGAGTTTCTTAATCAGCAGTAAGAGCGAAGAATGACATTACTGGCTGTACAGCACTTGCTCAGTACGGTTGCCCATGGTGCAGGGATGGCTGAGGACTACTCAGCTACAAAGTTTACAGGTTTAAGGATAGGTAGCAGAGCTGGCTGGAGGATAACCTCAAGGTGGTGCCTCAGTGTAGGGGAGCACAGTGTGAATTGCCTAATAATTATCACAGTGGGCAACTAAGGCAAGATGCATTGTGAAACAGCTATCGCTCCTGGTTCTATTATCTAGGGCAAAAACACGTCTTCTCTGATTTCCCAGTTAAAAACATTATACACACCCATGTATGGGTTCTCAGTCAAACCATGTACACTAAACCTAAACAGAGAGAGATGTGTATTTGTGTTGTCTTTCTGAATACAGCCCATGAGGACTTGTCCTATGGTTATTTATCCAGGTTCCACCAGGTTTTCAGTTTGTAATTGTTTGCCAACATAGAGGATATCTCTTCCTACTGAAATCTCCACACTGCTCTGTCTCATCGAGAAGGATGGTAGGTTTGCCAGCATGCCTTTGGAAAAAGCTGAAGAGGACTCTCCCACGTCTCATGGAGATCCCACTGCACAAAGTCTTCTGCTGAGCATGTCCTGCCTCTAAGCCAAGAGCCCCATCTCTAAACAACTCAAACGTCCCTGCATGTGAGTGTAAATGGAAAGGCAGACTGAGGGAGCGCTCAGAAAAAGCTCCCTCACATTATGAACACACATGTCTAGGTTCTTTCTTCTAAAAGAAGGGATTAAAAAAAATTTTTTTGCAAAGCAGAAAGGGGAATCCCAAAAGCAGCAGTAACTTCAAAAGGACCTTTGCATAGTAAACTTTCTTAGCATTTTGCAAGAGGGTATCCATAGCAGCAGCTAAGGCTGTAGTCGCTGCAGACTCTGAACATGTTTCTCCTAATTGATTAAAGTTAGGTTTGTCCAGAAGTTTCCTTCTCTTATGTGGAGCCAGCATGGCCTGCAAAGAGGACAATGGCCAAGATCTGAAACATAATTGTAGATCTCTGACCCTACCAACACATCCAGATCCCCAAAGTGACTGGGCAGCATTACTTCTGAGGGACGAATCTGGGAGGACACGTGGACACTGGGAGATGGCACAGTGTACTTCGCTGACCTCTGTCAAGCAGCACAGCACTGCAGGCACATAAGGATGAATAAAACCCAGGGTAGAGGGTCTGATGTGGAGACAGATGCAGTCCAATGGGGCAGGTAGTGGCTTACAAATACAGGTGGAGAGGGTTTGCTAGCAGAACAGTGCACCTAACCTGGCCTTCGCCCTGCGTTTTCGTCCACCTACACTTGGTGATAGAGAGGCAGATCTAGTCAGCACAAAACAAAATGTCCATTGCCATGCAAAACCCAGCTCCAACCCTAAGCAAACTCCACGACTAAGAAGAAGGAAAGCTTGACTAAAACTACCCCAGACCCCCATCTGCATTTAGTACTGACATAATTGTCAGCTCTCTCCTCACTGTCAGCTGATTTCACCATGGTCTTGAACAGAAAGATCCTCTGTGGCCCAAGAGTAGCATGCTGTCTGGGAAGCAGAGCTCATCATGCTTATGTGGGATCCACCGTGGAAGAAATGATGCAAATTTCATCAGCCTGCAAGCTTCTCCCCTGCAACACTCAGTGGTTTAGGTAACATTTCTAGTTTGAGCATGCGGTTGGGACAACAGAGGTCCTACATTTTTGCCAATACTGACAGACTGCCAACGCTCTTCACAGCTCTCCTCCTTGTTCTGATCTTACAGTTGCCCAGACTGGGGACTTGTCATAGATCCCACCATAGATCCCACAAACATATGTGCCTGCCGATCTCAAAGAGGAAAGTGGGAGAGCACCTGGGCCATGCATGGATTTTGTCCTGACAAGGAGTGATGATGTGGCCAGGACATACACCCAAGCCCGGAAGCTGTCAAACATTCCCAGGTTCTTCAGTTTACACATAGTTCTGGTGACCAACCTCAAAAGTATATGTGAAGAAGGGTCTCAAATCTACTGAAGTCTTTCACCCTCCAGAACTCTCATACTCAGTGGAAAGCCAGCTCTTCACAACCCACGGGCTGCACTGACAGACCTACAATTATCTCAGGTTATGTCACGGGTTGTGACAGCTCTCCTGTGCATGCACAGCTTATCTGTACAAGTATAACAAGTCTGATGCATCCCGGCTACTTCCAGCCAATTGCATACAGTGGAGCGGGCAAGTGCAGGGGTAACAAATGCAATATAGCAAGAACGCAGTGGGCAGGCTGCAAAACAGCCATTTCCAGACCTGTGGTCATTTCAGAATCTCAAAGCTGCAGCTTACTGCCCAAAGCATTAGGACTGTCAGGTCTGGATCAAAGACACAAAAACCCACTTGGTACTATTTATTACCCTCTTAAAATAAACAGTTTTCATGATTATAGTCATTTAGGAAAGCCCTATAGCTTGCAGAGTGGGGAAGCATGCTCTGGACATGGTTTGTTTTTGGATCCTGAGGTAATGGAGACACTGTAAATAGATGTCTGATAAGAATCTGTCACCGGATTAATCAGGATCTTTGCAAGCTGTAACTTAAAACACCTACCATGCTTAACCACTAGAATTTAAAGGGACGTCACACACATATATTTAAGACTATTTTGAGTCACATTTTGCATTCATTCAATTAGTGTCAACTAATTGATGAGTTGGTTCACCAGTACAACAAATAGTGCTCTACATTACTTGTTACTCTTCAGGTAAGTAATATTCCACAGCTAATCACTGCTCACTTTATGAATCTGATATCTCTTCGGAGTACTTATCCACATTAGAAAAAAACCTGTTGAAGTCTCTTTAATTTGAAAATGATATGACAATACAGTGTTAGAATTTAATATAAAATCAATTTCTTTAAATATGCAAGATTTTGTGTACATTATTATAATATGTTCTTCCCAAACTAAATTTTTACTGTCACCATAATCTAAGCAAAAGCTTAGGTGTGTTTTATTTTACATTTCTTATCCACAAACATTGATTCTGGCTTCCTATTCTGTGACCTGAGGTAGTTGCCTTGGTCAAGAAGGGGAGGAAAAAAAACAGTTAATTGCAATTAACCTGCAACTTTCTGTGCTTCTGAAGAAGAAAAATCCTCCTGTACAAACAGCACAGTTTCTGTCATGACTGTAATAAATTAGGCCACTGGGTTCAATCCTCAAGTTTCCTTGACCTACTAAATTTACAGTAGTTTCAATGTTTGTTCCCTTCAGCCTGCTAACTCACTGTTGCAAAAAAAAAGAAACATATTAATAGTTCTGCTGCTCCACAGCCTTTATGAGAAATTAGTAAGCAGAAAATGCAGCATTATAATTAGAAATGGAACAAAGCAAATAAAGTTCAGATTCACATCTGTATGTTTTACAGCCATGCTCTTGATTCAAGCCCGGCTCTAATTACAGTAGCAGCTCTTTCCTCTCCTTCTGGAAAGGACTTTCTCTCTGCAGCTCACAGGGACATGGTTCAGTCCCTTTGCTATCTCAGCCGGGTAACCCGGTGCAGGGGTTTTACACAGATGCTTCAAGAATCGTTTGTCCCCAGAATGAGTACACAGAGTTATCAGAAGAGGGACATGCACCTTTCATTCCCCTCTATTCCTCTGCCAGTGAATTCATACTTGCACAGAAATGAGGCACTCTGTGTATGTATCTACCTACCTTATTTATTTGGTAACACTGCATGTTCCTGCTCATGTCCTTCACCTAAAGTATGGTACAGCATGTAACCACAAGGTCTCGCTGAGCATCTTTACAAACGTGGTTATGAAGGAACTGAGAATCAATAGCGTAACAGACTCACATGCACATGGGTCAGAAAAGGGAGATCAGGCAATTATTCTCTATAGGCTGAACTATAAATGGCCAGAGAAGCATATAATGAATAAAAAATCTCAGCTGTAAGGGACATTCCAAGGTCATTCGGTCCAACTACATGCTCAAAGGAGGGCTGACTTTGAAGTCAGACCCAAGCAATCCTGCCATGAGTCATTCCCTGCAGAAAACGACAGGGAACTCAATACCGGTGCATGTTGCACTGTGACACAGAGCAAAATACTCTCTGCAGCTCGAAGCCCAACGAAATGTGAAAAGCATTGGATTTACTCCAAGGGGATGTGGAGATTACAGGAGCTCTAAGGCCCTCAGCAGCACTGCTGGGAGCGGACACACTTTACATCTCATGACAGCTGAGATGCTACATGGCTGCAGAGAGCCCTTCCTGCTCCACCTGGGTGTTACTGATGTATCTAGCTCTGTTAGCTATTACAAAATATGTTTAGAGTCAAAAAACATACAGAACATTTTAAAGATAACTTATTTTCTATTGTGCTGCTGGAGTGAAAAAATACTTCGTGTTTCATCTTGTGTTTTGCACCCACTCAGGGGCCGCTGTTACACACGGAAAGGAAGAGGTTGTTGGTGCCATGGGAAGCACCGGTGTGCTGGCTGCAGGCACTGGCAGGGGGGGGGGGCCCCCCCCCCGGCACCCCCGCCGTGCCCTTTCCATCCTATCCTGGATGCAGCATATCCAAATCAGTATTTTCAAGCACACTGCCGCAATTTTTTCCACGTAGAGTTTAGCCACACGTTTTTGGTTTAGAAGCCCTTTAAGTATTTGATCATAGGATGTCAAGGACGTTTGACTTAAGAAGTGGAGGAAACTAGAAACCACACAAATGCTATGAATA